AGAGAGAGAAAGAGAGAGAGAGAGAGAGAGAGAGAGAGAGAGAGAGAGAGATGGAACAAGAAAAGGAGAGAGAGAGAGAAGCGGAGCAAGGAGAGGAGTGCGTATGTGAGTGTGCGTGCGCGCGCGCGTGTGTGCTTACGAATACATTTCGCCGTAGGGTCGAGTCCTACGGAACGATTGAAAAGCGTCGAAGCAAATAACAGACATGAAGAGGTGATTAAATTCCCGGCACCCTGTTAAATTACGCTGGGTTTACATCACAAAGACCTTACGATCCCGTCCATCGTCACGACCGCTGGGAAATCAAACCAGTTGTTGTCCGATCACACGCCGTAATAAAACATCCGTCGCTATAGGTGCTAGAGAGCCACGCACGCACGATACACGCACACACACACACACGCGCACGCACGAATACACGCACGAACACACACGCGCACGCACGAATACACGCACGAACACATGTACACACACACACACACACACACACACACACACACACACACACACTACACACACACACACACACACACACACACACAACACACACACACNAGTAGTCATCCTGCGTTGATATGAGTGGTCATACCTGTTTAGGAGTGGTATATACCTGGTTATGTGAGTGGTCATACACCTGGTTATAGTGAAGTGGTCATACCTGGTACTATAGGTGATAGTCTACCTGGTTATTAGTGGTGGTTATACCTGGTTATCGTGGTAGTCATACCTGATTATAGTGCAGTGGTCTACCTGTTCTATAGTGACGTTAGTCATTAACCTGGTTATACAGGTGAACGTGATCATTACTTGTTATAGTTGCGTTTAATACCCTGGTTATAGTGAGTAGTCATACCTGTTATATGAGTAGTCATACCTGGATTTAGTAGTAGTTCAATACCTGGTTATATAGTGAGTAGATAATACCTTCTTATATAGTGAACGTAGTCATACTGGTCTATATAGTGCAGTAGTCATTTACCTGGTATAGTGAGGAGTAATACGCTTGTTCCTACGTGACGGAAGTATACCTCGGGTTATAGTGAGTAGTCATTACCTGGTTATAGTGAGTGGTCATACCTGTTATAGTGAGTGTTATACGCTGGTTAAGTGATGTGGTCATACCTGTTATATGAGTGGGGTCAACCTGTTATAGTGATGTAGGCATAGCCCTCTGATTTATAGCTGAGTGGGTCTTATACCTGGTTTAGTGAGTAGGTCAGTACCTGTTATTAGTGAGGAGTAATTACCTGGTTATAGTGAGTGGTGCATTAACCTGGTATATAGTGAGTAGTCATCCGTGGCTTTATGTGAGGAGTTAGACCTGTTATAGTGAGTGTCTACCTTGGTTAGAGTGAGTAGTCACCTGGTTAGAGTGAGGAGTAATACCTGGTTATAGTGAATGAGTCATAACTGGTTATAGTGTAGTGTCATACCTGGTTAGAGTGAGGCGTACTACCTGCGTATATCCGGGAGGATATTACCTGGTTATGCTGAGTAGTCATACCGTGGCCGTTTAACTGAAGTTAGTCATACTGGGTCTGAGTGAGGGAGTTATACCTGGTTATACGCTGCATGGTCTACCTGGTTAGAGTGAGTAGTCATACCTGTTCATAGTGAGGAGTTATACTGGTTTACTCTAGTGGTGGTCACTAACCTGGTTAAGAGTGATAGTCATACCCTGGTTATAGTGAGGGTAATACCTGATGTTATAGTGAGGAGTCAATACATTGTTATATAGTGAGCGTAAACTACTGGTTATCACTCGAGTAGTCAAGTACCTGGTTTATAGTGAGTGTCATACCTCGGGTATATAGTTGAGTGGTTATACCCTGGTTATATGAGTGTCATACCCTGGTTATAGTGAGTGGTCATACACTGTATTATAGTGAGGAGTAATACCTGGTCTATAGTGAACGTGTCTACTGGTTATAGTAGTATCATACCTGGTTATACTGAGCGAGCTCCCTCATACCTCGGTTATAGTGACGTGCGTCACTACCTGGTTCAGACCGTGAGTAGTCATACCCTGTCTTATAGTGAGGAGGTAATTACCTGGTTATAGTGGTGGTCATACCCTGGTCTATGAGTGAAGTGGTCATTACCTGGTATAGCAGTGAGGCGTAAATACCTGGGTCCCCCTCTCGTGGCTGAGGCCCGTCCAACTTCCTCCCCGCCTCCGCTCCGTGAGGCCAGTAATACCTGCGTTATAGTAGAGTAGTCATACGGTGGTTAGAGTGCAGTATCATACCTGGTTATAGTGAGTGTTATAGCCCTGGTTATAGTGACGTGCTCATACCTGGTTAGAGTGAGTGTCATACCTGGTATAGTGCGGAGTTTAACCTCGGTTATAGTGAAGTGTCATACCTGGTTAGCAGCTGAGGAGTAGTACCTGAGTTTAGTGGGAGTAATACCTTGGTTATAGCTGAGGAGTAAATTACCTGGTTTAGTGAAGTAGTCATCCGTGCGCTTGATAGCTGAGTAGTCATACCTGGTCTAGTCGCAGTAGTCATACGTGCTTATATTGAGGAGTATACTGGTTATAGTGAGTGGTCATATCTCGGATTATACCTTGAGGAGTTAGTCATACCTGGTTATAGTGAGTAGTCATACCTGGTTATATAGTGAGTAGTCATACCTGGTTATAGTGAGTAGTCATACCTGGTTATAGTGAGTAGTCATACCTGGTTATAGTGAGGAGTAATACCTGGATATAGTGAGAGATTATATACCTGGTTATAGTGAAGAGGTATAACTGGTTATAGTGATGATTTATACCTGGTTGTGTACAATATTACCCTGTGACACCTGTGTGTGCAAGCGTGTGTGCATGCCCGTGTGTTCCTGCGTGTGCATTTCGGCCTCGTGCGTGCTTGATTGCGTGCGTATGTCGGGCGTGCGGGCTTGTCTGCGTCCGTGCGTATGTCTGACGTATGTGCGTGAACGTTAGGTTGGCAGGACAGCGACGTGGACACAGCAGAGTTCAGTGTAAAACAAGCACGTGTGTTCGTGCGTGCGTGCGTGTACCTGCCTGTCTGTCTGTGTACGTTTTCGTGCGTGCGTGCCTGTCTGACTGCGCGCTTTTTCGTGCGTGCGTGCGTGCCTGCCTGCGTGCTTTTTCGTGCGCGGGTGCGTGCGTGCCTGCCTGCCTGTGTGCTTTTTCGTGCGTGAGTGCGAGAGTTTGTAAGTAAATCTTGGAATGCGACGCGAGAACCGTGTATTAACGTGTAAAGAACTTCCTGGGCGGAGTGCCATCGAGGAAACAGGTGTTTTGATGCAAAAACAAGGTGATTTCACGTTATTACGTGACGGGACGAGATTTATGTACGAATCGCCGTCCCTAGTCGCGCGTGAATGAGGGGATATATATATATATATATGACACGTGCGAAGGACAACGTAACATTAAAATCATGTTGTCGTAAACCTGAGCTGTCATAATCATCATCGTCGTCGTCACCATCATCATCATCATCATCATCATCATCATCATCATCATCATCATCATCATCATCATCATCATCATCATCATCATCATCATCATCATCATCATCCTAGACATCATCATCATCCCCTGTCATCTCTGTTCCGACCTTGAGTGCGTCAGTGCTCACTGACGTATACGACACTTTACATAATTACTAGCATTACTGTTAGGCTGCTGTTAATCATGACTGCGTGAACATCGTGTAATATACACGTGACATCAGCGGGAAGGTAACACGAGCTCTACTCCAACGTTTACAAAACACTTCTCGATCGTTCGCTTTCTCCGTCGCTTTTTACAGTTCCTTCAAAGTTTTTTTTTGTTGCCAGTAGAAAAATTCTTTAGTACGCGTTTAATGAGTTCGCACTTCTTTCGAAAACCTTACCTAGGATCGCGTGTATATTTTCATGTTAGGAAATGATAAAACTATCGTAATGAATAATATATAAAACACAAACTATAGTAGAAAATCGTTATGATTATTGCATTAGTTATACTGAAGTTTTCATTCTGTTTATATGATCCTTTACTATTATTCTATATTATTATTGTTATGATTATTTCTATTATTTGTTAGTTTTTGTATCAATATTTAACGTTATTACTTATTTAGATATGTAAGGTTCGAGTCGAGAGGGCTTGGCGTGATTTCACAGCGGCGTTTGTTTATACCCGCCTTCTTCTTCAACCGCCGATCTCTGCTTGTAGGTGCGACGTCGTGACTGCAGCCCGTAAGGAGGCGCCGCCCGTTCAAGACGCGCCACCATGTGAGATCGCGACCAGCATGTCTCAGCGATACCTCATCCCTGCCCACATGCTCCCCATCATGACCCCCACCGTTGCTGCCGCCCCCCGGCCCCGCCCCCCAGCCGACGCGGGGTGGGCCGGCGCCGCCGCCGCCTTCGACAGCGAGCCGAAACTGGCGCTCACCGGTGGCGCCCCAAAGGGCGGAGGAAAGTTCGCGGTAAACGCGAGCCCGTCGCATCCAGGGGGCGCCACTGTCGCCTCGCCCCCGGTGGCGATGCCGCCGCCCCGCGCCGCGCCGCCGAACGGCTTCCTCCCGCAGGATCTCTCTCACTCGCGGCAGACGTCAAACCTCTCCCGCCTCGACGAGACGCGCTCATCCCACGTCAGCGTTCCCGCGACGGCGGCGGCGCGCGAGAAGACGCTCTCGACGACGATGACGACCGTCGTCGCCGACGACAACGCTCGCAACGCGTCGCTGCTGCGCCGCGACCGCAAGGTGGCGCCGCACGCGCGTGCGGAGTCGGCGCGCGCGCCGCGGCACGACCTGCGCTTCGTCAACCTCGCGGTGCTATTCCTGGGAGCGACGGTGATGACGATACTCGCCTTGCAGCTGCTCTATCACATCGAGGGCGCGATGCACGCGCCCCGCACCGCCTCGCAGCTACCGCAGCGCCACCACGACGCGCTGCGGAAGGTGGCGGCGGTGTTCGCGTGCGTCGCCGTCGTGCTCGACCTGTGTGCGGTGCTGGTGAGCGCCATGCAGCTGCTGTGTGCTGTTAGACTGCTGCTCACGCGACCCTGCCCCGAGCTGAGGTACACGCTCATACTGCCGCTGAGAAGGTCTATGTCCCCCAGTATGTAATTGAGGGGGTACCCGTACCCAGGACAGGGCACCCTTCGATAGTACCCTGGGGGACATAGACCCTATCAGCGATAGTGACACATGCTGTTAGACTCTTAGTAGTGCTGCCAGGGTCTATGTCTCCCTGGGTACTGCCGGAACGTAACCTGTCGGAACGTTCCCTGGATACGGTCCGGTATACCGGAACGTACCCTGGTACTATCTAATATACCGGACCGTACCTCGCCTACTCCACTAACGAGTCTAGAGAGTCGCCTACGCCTACTCCCTAACCCTAACCCTAACCATATCAGATAGTTACCAGAGTACGTTCCGGTATACCGGACCGTACCCAGAGTACGCTCCGGCAGTACCCTGGGGGACATAGACCCTATATATGAGCCATACTGCCCGTAGCTTTTGAGTTACGTAGTTTTAGTGTATGGTTATGGTTATGGTTATGGTTAGGGTTATGGTTATGGTTATGGTTATGGTTAGGGTTATGGTTATGGTTATGGTTAGGGTTATGGTTATGGTTATGGTTATGGTTAGGGTTATGGTTATGGTTATGGTTATGGTTAGGGTTATAGCTAGGGTTAGGGTTAGCGTTAGGATTAAGATTACTGCCTGGTTGAGGTTACAGCCCAACTAAAGCTTTCAGTGTAGGTGTTAGGTACGTTTATGCACTTAGGGGTGTAGCTTACCCATTTTGCCTGAAAGAGTGGAGGGGGCAAAGCCACGTGCGTGGTGTGTTCTAGGAAGGTGACCGCCATTTACCATGTAGATTTCTCTGGGGGGGGGGGCAACTCCGCTATGACTACTTGCCCTCCGCAAGCTACGGCCCCGGTATTACGTACGGTTATGGTTAGGGTTAGGCTTAACGTTAGGATTAAGGTTATGGTTCGGGCTCAACTAAGACTATCCCAGCTGTGATGGCCCAGAAATAAATCATCACATTGATAACCATTCAGGATTACCGATAGAGTCAGGTCCTTAGGAAAGGTATATATTAGGTATTAATCGAGATATTATATATATTATCAGGAGTAGATAATAGGCCTATTATCTACTCCTGATATTATATATGTATATATATATATATATATACTTGCTTACTATATATCCCGTTTGTCTCGCAAATATATATATATATAAATATATATAAAGGTACTACTAGGATAGATCGTTATGGGGCAGTAGTTTGTGACGAGCAGCCTGACTGTGGTGTAATGGCGGGTGTGTGATGTTGTGCTGTCCATGTGTGTCTACAGGGTGACAAGCTACCTGAGTCAGTGCTTCGTCGTACGAGTTAGCGTCGTCATAGGATTCTTCATCTCTCTGCTGCTGCTACTCGTCGGTGAGCCATCGATTGAATTGTTATTGTTGATGCACGAGGTTTGATGTTTCACGAACTTCTTTCTTGCTCTCTCTCTCTCTCACTTAATTCATGAACTTCTCTCTCTCTCTCTCTCTCTCTCTCTCTTCCTCCTCACTCTCCCTTTCTTTTACTCTTTCTCTTTTCTCGCACCTCACTCTATGTCTATCACCCGTTTTATTTGCTCGCGCTCTTCCTCTCTTTCCTCTCTCCATTGCTTTTGCTCCCTCTCCCCCTGCTCTGTCTTCGTATCCTACACGTGGATAATACCGGTGTTTTCGTTGCAGTGCTAGCTCTCTATTACTACATGAGATTTGACCTTGAGGCAGCCTACATCTCCACCGCCTTCATCGCCGCTGCCACCATCTTCTTCATCATCGCCGCCTCCCACAACGCATGGGCGTGGCACAAACAAGCGAGCATGCCCTACCAGGAGCCACGCGGCGCGCACGACAACGCCGGCTTCGTGAGAGACTTTGACGTCACCTGCTGCTCCAGTGAACCACCGCTCATCGGTGTCAAACTAGAGGACATACACGAACTGTCAACCCTCGTGTGACGAGGGGACACTGCAAACGGTCAACCCTCGTTAAATAGTGAGAAGACATGCACGATTGTCAACCCTCGTGTGCTACCGAGGGGACAGCCGCAACTTGTCAACCCTCGTTAGATGGAGCAAAGACATACACGAACTGCCAAACCTTGTGTGACAACGCGGGGGCACTACAAACGGCCAACCCTCGTTAAATATTGAGAAGACATGCACGATTGTCAACCCTTGTGTGACAACGAGGGGACAACTGCAAATTGTCAACCCTCGTGACACAGTGAAGTGCCGTCTACTGCCCAACAATCAACTGTCGTGTGATAGCAAGGTGACAGCTACAAACTGTCAACTCTTGTGCGACAGTAAGGGAGGAAGTAAATATATGAACTGTCGACCCTCGTGTGACAGTGAAAGGACGGCTGTAAACTGTCAACCGTCGGTTGGTAGTGAGAGAGGACATACACGAACTGTCAACCCTCGAGTCACAGCGAGTCTACTTTCCAACTATCAACTCTTGTGTGACAGTGAAGGAAGAATCACAAACTGTCAACCCTCGCGTGGTAGTGAGGGTACATTCACAAACTGTCACCATTCATCTGATAAAGGGACATTTGCGACCTGTCAACCTCTGTGGGATGCAGCTGAAACACTCGGTGACAGAGTGGAGATCTTCACAATCTGTCAACGCTCTTGTGTGACAAACGCGTGGACAGCATGTGGCATTTGGGGCAGGCAATTTTACCTCCGACCTCACACTCATACTGTCCATTCATTATACACTCACAACTCACGCTTGCATTCCACATAAAATATTATTGTACACTCATTATACATTCACAACTCACGTCTGTATTGTATCAGGAGCTAATAATGACAAATTGTTAGGGTTAGGGTCATTATTAGTTTTTATATTTAGTCAAAAATTTGTCATTATTAGCTCCTGATTGTATGTACGTACTGTAAATTCAAAACTCAGGCTCGTACTGGATGTATTGTACATTCACTGTACATTCTACAACTCACGTCTGAATTCTATGTAATTTACATTCATTGTACATTAACAACTCGTGTTTGTATCACATGCATTGTACATTTCATTATACATTCACATCTCATGTCTCATGTCTGTACTGTAACTCTGTAAGTTCAAGACTCACGCTCGTGCTGGATGTATTGTCTATTCATTGTACATTACAGCTCATCGTTGTTATGCATTTATTGTACATTCTCTGTACATTCACAGCTCATACTCGTATGGCACGCATTGTACATTCCTTATGCATTTATAACTCCCGCTCGTATTGTATGTATTGTACAGTTAAATGTATATTCACAACTCACGCATGTGTTGCATGTATTGTGCATTCCTGGTTGTCCACGTGGGTTGCCTGCGGTTGCCGGTTCACTTCACAGGGGTCAACAGAATAGCAGTGCCACGGGGCAACCAGTGTCCTCACACACACTCTCAAACTCTCTAATGCCATGTCTTCAGTGTCGTGTGAAAAGCAACGCAGTGTGTGATTGTGCGAGCTCGCTTAGGGGAAGGGGGGGGGGGCAATAGCCTGAGGTCTACGTATATTGGCTGTATGGTGGGGTCTCACCTAGCCGTGTGCAGCTTCTAAGAGAAATGAGCGTGCGTGCGTCTACGAGCCAGTGTGTGCGTCTGTGTGTGTGTGTGTGCGTGCGCGTGCGTGTGCATACGTGCGTGAACATGTATTAATTAAAAATCCAGGGATGCTTCAATGAGCGCTTAACTCGAAACCGTGCAATATAGCATTCCCTGCAAACTAACCTGTTTCCTTGAACGGGAACCTGATTCCCGAGACCAAGTACCTTGACCACGTACTTTCTGATAGTATCCAATCATCGTGAACTACCCCAACAAGCAACAATCACAAAACATCATACTACTAATCACTGTATTATATTTTCTCACTTCCCTTCCTCCTTTTGAGGGACACAGGCTAATGTTAGTAGGTTTGTCAAAGACTGACACACAGCCTATATCCCACAGCTCTGATAATAGTAATTACTGAGTATAGTACCATTTTTAAAGTATTACCGAGTACAGTACTGATTGGCATACAGTTAAACCTGTGTTAGTGGTTCCCTGTATAGAACAGGCACCTGTGTATAAAGGTCACTTTTGGCGTTTCCATTAAGAGTCAGTCATACTGTTAAACTATCTGTATAGAACAGGCACCTTTGTGCAAAGGTCACTTTTGGCTTTACCCTTGAGTGGCAATCATATAGTATAGAATAAACATCTGTTTATCAAGGATACTTTTACTTTCACTGAGTGGCAGTTATATAATGAAATCACCTCTATATAGCAGATACCTGACTATAAAGGACACGTTGAGTATTTTCTTTCAGCGCCCCTTATATACAGGTTTGACTGTACGTAGGAACCCGGAAAAAACACTACGGCCACATTAAGATTGGCGCTGTGAGAAAGGTTGGTCACAGACCTAATGGCAGCACTAAAAACCTGTAAATACGTTGCATCATGTTAACAGTCTAATTATCATTCCTGATGATGTAAGTAAAAAACACCTTATAAATAAAACAATCACGTGCCTTCACGTCTCGATGTTGCTCATATTGTTTCGGCGACACCGAAAAAAAATTTAAAAAATGCATACTCAAGACCGTATATCGGACTTTTTTTTTTTTTTTAAATAATTGCTCAAGACGGTTCATAACAAATTACCAACCAACGATTAGTATAACATGCCGCCTAGGCTCCACAACAGGTCATTAGTAGTAAACAAGCTTGCGTATAATAAACTTTCGGAAGACTTTAACGTGCACTTAATTCAACACTAGGATTCTGACACACATTATATGATGTGACATAAGATGATTTAACATGATAAAACATGTATCGCAACTCACGCGATATGACGTGATTCACATGAAATGATACGATTTACATGTAATCTGATTCACAGAATGTGACGCGCTATAACATGACCTGACAGGATTCACATGTGACGATTCACACAATGTGGCACAATGTAACTTGAGTGACATGATTCACACAATGTGGCACGATATAGCATGATGTGACATGATTCATACAATGTGGCACGATATAGCATGTGACATGATGATTCACACAATGTGACATGATTCATACAATGTGGCACGATATAGCATGATGTGACATGATTCATACAATGTGGCATGATATAGCATGTGACATGATGATTCACACAATGTGACATGATTCATACAATGTGGCACGATATAGCATGATGTGACATGATTCATACAATGTGGCATGATATAGCATGACGTGACATGATTCACACAATGTGCCATGATATAGCATGATGTGACATGATGATTCATACAATGTGGCACGATATAGCATGACGTGACATGATTCATGTAAAATGTGACACAATTTAAATCGCATCCCGTCCAGATGACACTATCCCGCGATCAGATAATACAGTCTCGCGTGCATCACAGATGCATTACAAACACTAAAATACATTCCGAATTTCCCATCTCTAACTGTCAGCAACGTGCTGTGCTGCTTTCAACGTCGATCGCAGCATGACCTATCGTGTGATAGTAAACAGGGGCGTAGCCAGTATGTAGCACTGTAGGCCCGGGCCTACACTTTTTTTGGCCAAGTTATCTTTTTTTTTTAAACACCCATAATTCAAATCCATAAGCTTGCTGGACGAGTTTAAGAGTCTAGACAGGAAAAACTATTGAAATGAACGTAGCAAGAATATGGCTAAATTAGGTGACCTATTCTTCTGTCATCTAGGCTGTCATTTCTATCGCGTGCCGTTTCATTCAACACTCTACCCGCCGAAAAAAACTAGGATCCGACCTTGTCAGTTTTTTAACATTTTAACTCGTTCGTAACACTATTTTAACTCGTTTGTTTTTTGGGTTTAAAAGTGATATTGAATGAGGTGTCTCAAGTTAGCAAGAGGCCAAGGAACCAGAATGAACACTCGGGAAGGGCCGTTTCCGGCCATCTGGGGGGTTTGTAAAACCAAAAATTTTCTTGTACGCTTCGCCCCAACCGATGGTGGCGCTTCGCTCAGATAGTCGTGCCTACAACTTTGAAAATCCTGGCTACACCCCTGGTAAACAGCAGGAACTTGTCCTGATTGTAGGTGGGGTGTGTGTGTGTGTGGGGGGGACGATTTGTCGATGTATCACAATACAAACCTCGATGATGCGTGATGAAGCAACAGGTGGCGCCACCTTCCTACGCAGTGTTATAGACATACGCCCTAACATTGCGATAGGTGGCAGCACGTGTCTGTACAACGGCAGGTGGCAGCACGCGCCTGCGCGGGATTCCGATGGAATGCATCCGACGAGAGCTTACAATGGGACAGGTGGCAGCACGTGCCTTGCTTGCAGTTTCTCCTGGAGCCACGTAGCAATCACAGCCGTGTTGTTATCGTCGTTTACTACGATCAACGGGTGCTTCTGAAATCGGAGCAACGCAATGAAGCCGTGCCATCACTTCACATATAATTTTACAGCGCAAGGTTATGGAGTGATAAGCAGTCGAGGCCACATGGCATAGATTAGTGGACCTGCATCCTGTGAAGAAGTTCCAGATCTGCTATAGGCACAGACGGGATAGTTAACAGTGATTCTGTAACCCATAGAGACTGTCCACGTCTCCCCTTCACACACATCTCAGAAGGTAGCTGCCCATTGTTAACCTTACAGCTTAATCGCATTAAAAATGAAAGTGTCAATGACACTGTAGCTCACCACAAAAAAGGACACAAATGAGTGAGTAAGAAGAAGTCAGTTTTAATTGAGCAACCATCGACGTACATTATAGAAATGATTGCCATCTGTATATCGCAATAATAATTTATAAACCAAAATGAATCACAATTTGTGACCGTAGATGGCGCTATACCCGCTTTGTAGCGATGGCGTTTGAAATAAATAGGTTATGCTGCGTTCCGACATGTTTTGTAAATCTTTACTCTAATATAGACGTTTTATTGGCAGGGTGGAGAGGAAATACCAATTTTGCATTAAATATATTGTCAATGAAATCTTGTAAAACGAACCAGATTCATGAGTGTGACACTACAGACTGTTTGTGTCTATATAATATGCTATATAATTGCAAAACCCTACCTAATTTGCATAATTTCAAAACCCCTAGCCCTTATTCATTCACATACCAAAAATGAGCAAAATCCGTTGAACCTGAACTGACTAATAGCAATTCCCATTTTTGCCAAAATGGCGTGCTCCAAAATAGGACGTTTAATATGGGAGCATAGCAGTAACAACTACACCCAATTTCAAACATGTGGGTCAAACGGTTCCTGAGTTATCGTTGACCGAACCCAAATGTTGACGGACGGACGGACGGACGGACGTACGACGACCCATGGCAATAGCTCAGCTTGACGATGTCAAAGTGAGCTAAAAATATAGGCTCATCGAATCTACACAGGGTACTGACAGTGGATCTGCATCTGTACAGACGGTCCAGGCATCCACTCTTCACATGTCTAATGGAATTATGTCTGGTGCACCACGAACACCACAGAGGCAACACCACACGTCTACCCGTGACTCGTGAACAGGGGAAGGCTGTGAATTCCCCCCTGCGTGACCCCGCACACTCACCATAAGCTGTTCAGGTCGTGGCCGCTCTCTGGGATTTTGCTTCATGCTAGAATGTTCAAACACAAGCACATTTAAACTCCCCGTATTTCGTATTACATTTCGCGGCAAAACTAATAGAGAATAATTCCCTGCATAATTATCAGATCCCGACAGTCTCATGGGCATCTCAAAGCATGGAAATGTAAATCATCGACAATAAAATATTTTGATGCATAGATTGATATGATATACGAGTGTGGATGACATGCAATCAAGACACATGTTGTTAATATCTAAAATGCATAGGAAGCACATCTTACTATAATTTGGCGAATGTTGTATGTATGTATGTTAATGAAAGGCTCCGTCAGTTTCGATCCAAATAGCGCCAAATTCACAGAAGAGATCGATGAATACACGGGACGGGTTCTAAACTTTACTCGGTTGAAAAACGGTAAAAAGGGCTTAAAAAAGACAAAAAAATGAAAAAAAGATTTGCGTGAAAATAGGGGGCGCTATATCTTTGCCTTGCTAATATTTCGCCGTCTGTCAACGTTGTGCTGCATGCACAGACATTTTTGTAAGCCCAATAATGTAAGTAGAAATAAGAATGTAATAATGAAGTTAAATGTCAATGTCAAGGTCAATCTCTTCTCTTATCTCTCTGGGTATTGAACAGTCGGTACCACATGCATCACAGTCACTAAGCCCGCGCTTAGCGTGGGTTTCAGCTAGTTGATATAATAACACTTCAGCATCAAGTGGTTTTACATCAAGCATAACCAGTATAAAATTTGGAAACTTCAATACTACTGCATTTCACTTCATTCATTTCACCTTATCCAGACCTGCCAACCCCATCTGATGATCATCAGTAATAATTATTGGATTTTTCCGTAACAAATAGGCATTTGTCAGTAACACCTTTTTGTCAGTCTTATTACAGTGCACTACGCAGCACCTAATTTATCTCTCACGGTGATTGGCTGAAAATAGCCTTCAGTGCGGTACTACTATTCCTGGATCCGTGACGTCATTCAAAATGGCTGCGCCCATAAACCAGACAGACGAGCGCATAACACAGCATAATTTACCATTTTCGTGGTTCCCGTAAGTTTTAAGAGCTATTAGTCTAAATCTACAAGACACAGTAGTCATGTTACATGAGTAATAGTTGATTTTACACTGTGTTTATTTCTTTTTTTTGCATTAAAAAATATAATTTCAGAGATTTCTTGCTGTCCGTAATTTTTCGAGGTCGTCCGTAACACGTAATTTTGACTCGCGTCCGTAACAAATTACGGGCAATACGTAACAGTTGGCAGGTCTGCTTATCTCTCGTACTATCCTGTGCCGCCCTGTGTCTATCGCAACACATCTCCACTTACATTTTTACCATGAAAAAAAATCCTCCACTCAGAAAAATCAATTACTAAACGTTTTTTGCATGCTTCAAGCGATGGGTAAGTTAATTATACCTACCATTTAGAGACAAAGTCTCGGAAGAGGACCGAGTACAAGTCACTGGGAGGTGAGGGTGGCTCTTCACTAAGTATTCGATGCAAAAGTTCCAAAGGCTGGGACAGAAAAAATAACAACAAATATAAATGACATGGAATCGACAGTCATGAAATACTAATGCAATTTATTTTTTAAATATTTTATCTGTCTGCAAACCTTTACTCTCACTTCCTTTTTCTATCTCTCTCTCTTTCTGTCTCTCTCCCCTTTCTCTCTCCCTCCTCTCTCTCTCTCTCTCTCTCTCTCTCTCTCTCTCTCTCTTTCATGTAACCGAACTTTACATCCTACAATCACTCGACAAAAGCCAAAGCTCCGTAAAAGATCTTTTTTATATTGAAAACGAAACAGGAACTTTTCCAGACGCTAGGCCGTTAAGTTCTTTGTGCGCCAGCTTAGAGTTATGCGTTTTACAGCACCAGTCCCCCGAGCAACTTACCCGAAGAACGGAGGTTTCAGGACTAGCATGTTGCTGTGGGGGAAAAACACAGACAGATGTTAGACAAGTTTTACAACAAACAAACATGATGTAACTAAAGAATCGAGACATTGCGTAACAGGTGCGATCAAAATAATGGTTAGCATTCGAGAAATTTTCGGAGTCACTTCCGCCTTTCTTTCGCATCATTAGTCCGCCATTAAATAATTTACAAAACTCAGATCTTAAAACTTGTAAAAACTTGTAAAAACTTTTAACTTCCTAATTGAACTTCTCTCCAAATAACAATAAAAACAAGTGCCGCGGAGCGACAGCGCTCATCTAACGTCTACTGCGGTGACTCTGTGGTGGAGTGGTGGGATTCTAGTAAACCCTGTTAGTCCCAAATGTGTTCACATACACGCCGAAACAGTGGAATGCACAGGGATGGTATCAGGAACCTTCTCAAAGGAATGTACGTTCGTTGGGATCGTTATGAAAGTTGCCACGAGATGGCGCGTACGTTTAAGTGTCTTCAGATTAAAGATGGAAGCTCCCATCGAACGTAGTAGCAACTATTTGCAAGACAGAATAGGTAAGCACTCATCCATTTACCTACGCAAGCCTACAGGCTGCAATAGAGAGCTGCCACCTGTAACCAATTAACGCAGGCAAAAACTACACAGTACGTACCACCAACACATGCACTGGCAGTAGCCACTGGCAGTGGCATACGGTACATGTAACATACTGACAGTACAGAATGCCATAGAAATTATACGATTTAAGCAGCATAAACCTTCTTTAACCAAATTTAGCTTTTGAAATTTCACTGTGACATTGTAGCCTCATACATCCAGGCATGTATAGATTCTACTAGCAAACCCGGCAGTCAAATTCTTTTTAACAGATAGTCAACAAATCCAGGTTTAACCCTCCTCTTGAGGGTCAAAAGGTTATCTGACACTTACTCTTCGCACGTCAGCAGAAAGTAGATTTCATGGTCCTTTCAATAATGCCATAAAAATGCTAGGTCACCGCTGAAACAAAAAAGTTTTTCAATCGCTTCGTCAGACCATGTCCTCAGAAAATGCCTAAAATCTGCCCTGTGCCCATTGACCTTTGACCTGTGACCTCCAATTTCGGCACAGTGATGGCTTTTCCTACCATGATGCTATACACCGACTATCACGAGCCTAGGTCGAGCCGTTTAGATTTGTGCCGCAATTCTGCATTTCCTCCCTATACCTTAAGTTAAGGAGTGAATGTTCCCCCTTCTTTTACACCTCTTAACCTTTGACCTTTGACCCCCCAGCTTCGACATCCCAACTTGTTTTCGGATTCCCCCCCCCCACGTCCCGAATATCGTGGCCGTACGTCGAGCGGTTAAGATTTGTGCCCAACTGTTGACGGACGCACGGACGGACGGACGGACGCTCGGACGGACGATCAAGCGATTCTACAAGCTGCATCTGACAGCTGACAAGCCGATTGATATATTAAATATTTTGAATTACACGTAAACAACCAAACTGTTTACGCAGGAAAAAAACAAAGAAAAATAAATTTTATGGAAAGAAGCCAGCATGAAATTCAAGTAAGTCAACCACTACCAAGTGAATCACAGGGACTGCAAGGAGAAGAGAGAATGTAAACATTGCTTTGAGCAGAGACAGCCCCCTGCCTCCTAAATAACGAAAACTTTGCAACAAAAGAATTGAGAACTTCAGAAGGCACTGTATCGAATTTCTCTACACCTCACTTCTCTCACTATTCTGTTTTCTACAATGCAAACTGTCACAGGCTGTGACGGATGGAGGGCTGTGACGGATGGAGGGCTGTGACGGATGGAGGGCTGTGACGGATGGAGGGCTGTGACGGATGGAGGGCTGTGATGGAGGGAGGGCTGTGATGGAGGGAGGGCTGTGGCGTGTTGCAGCACGCTTACAGATTCGTAGGGGAAGCGTCCCAGAGCCATCTCCAGCAGCGAGATTCCGACACTCCACACCTCGGAGTGGATGCTGTATTCGTGGCCTCGGATCCTCTCGGGCTACGCAAGAAGAAGAACGAGTAGAACACGGCAAAGTTAGAAGAAAAAATAAAGAAAGAAGGAAGAGCAAGAAGAACATGACAAGATTAGAAGGACGAAGAAAGAAAGCAGGAGCAAGAAGAACACGGCACATTGTTTACGTTTCGACATCGACGACATAAGGAAGCCATGATTCTTCGCCAACATGAACACTCGAAAATAAGTTAAGCTACTATGCGTTAGCATGCACCTACTTGCCTTTTTTATATAACTTTCTAACACGTTCTTTAAATCTGTGAAAACAGCTTTAAGCTGCCAAAATATGGATAAAAATGCCTAAAAACTGTAAAACTAGTAACATCTCACTGACATGTGTGTATTGAGGTTAGTGGTTAACCTACCGCCATGTAAGCATTCGTTCCAATAAATGTCAATGCGATAGAATTGACTAGCTGAAACAGAATAAAAATGCACATTAGCAATGGAAAATTGACTGCAATGTAATTCCAAAAAGTAATTCAAATGCAATATACCGTAAAATATATGGAGATGGTACCATATTAAGAAGCTGATCTTATCATTGTTATTGTTATCATTAACAATATCATTGTTATCATTTAATATATATTATTCTTGTTATCATCGTTGTCATTATGAGATTTGTAAGCAAGATGGGCAGCCAATAACGTTCCTACGTACGGACACAAAAGCCATATAGTGTCACCTATGCTCACATCACACCCAAGTAAGAGACAGAGAAAAACCAGCACACGCAGGTGAGTGACAAGAGAGAAGAAACAAACCTGTGTGCTAACACCAAAGTCGCAGAGTTTAATCTGTCCTCTCGTGTTCACCAGGATGTTCGAAGGCTTCACATCTAGACGGGCGACAAAGAGAAGAAACGTGAGGAGCTTCCACCATCGGCCCAACGTGACGGCGCCCATCTAGAACCAAATCGGGTTGCCGCGCAAACTTCCTAACTGCCGCCGAACCATGAACGCGTAAAACGTCGACAGACGGTAGAACGGGAGGGACCGGGGAGAAGGCAGGGATCTGACGTTTTTATGATGGCGGGGAATGTCAGGGACCACCGCCGCACACACCCATCATAAATCACGTGCCACAGCGGCGGTGAGAAAACAAGTAAACCAGCTGGCTATTTTTTTGCATTGAATTGCACAGTCGTCTCCCGCCTGTGCGCTCACGCGATTTCATTTCAGGAATGTCAGCAATTTCAAACGAATTTCAGAGTTTTATGCTGGGTAATTGTAAAGTACCTGGCAATTTATTTTATGAACAAAAATGAACCCGTTTGTGAGTTTTTGTTGCGATGATACGCAATGGAGGTGGAGAGTGAATGCGAGTTTTGAATGAAAATGTGGCAGTCATGAAAAATATACAGCTAAATTGCGAAAATGAGGTAAATATCTGGTGTCAAATTTTAATTTTAATTTTCAATTGGCTTGTGAATGGGTTCAATAGACGGACCCAAATCTGGCCTACATAAAGCCCTGAATGCGTTACAGGGAAAAACTGACCAGTGGACAGCACTCTAGTGAACTAGTGAACTAGTGAACTAGTGAACTACGTGACTCTTGTTACGTTGAGATGTCAATATCGCCGATCCATCCTGGAATTTTCACCCATCCAAGTTTAATCCTAATGGAATGGATAATGATTGGATGGTGTTGAGATTAGGAATCCCACACGTCTCTCTTTTCTTTCTACAGAGGAATGCTTGTCGCCTGCTTGTTGATTCTGCTATCATGGCCGATCACAGACGTGTAATTCAGTAATTTCAACAAAAACTACACGGATGCGTTTCGATGCATGACATCGCACCTTCGCTGCAGTTTTCAGTAACGTGTGTGATCACACCTCAGCATAATCATACTAACAACTTTGTGCTGATAACAAGCGTTACTAACGACCTTGTAGTAAGTAACCTGTTGTAACGATACTAACGACTTAACAGTGGTAACGACAGCACCTCGGCCTAACGATACTAACGACTGCACGCGCTAACGAGTGTACCTCGGTGCATGATCTTGAGGCTCCACAGGTAGAGCAGACCTTTAACGACCGCCACAGCGATGCGACCAACCACCAGCTCCTCAATCTGCCCATACCTGTCCAACGAACCTCCTGCAAGGTAACACACCACAGGGTAGAGCGAGAGGGTGCTGGTGTCATTACAGGGTAGAGCAAGATGGCACCGACTGAACACAGGGCGAAAGGCATAGATGGCACGACTGAACACAGGGCTGGAGGCAAGATGGCACCGACTGAACGCAGGGTGGAGCAAGATGGCACCGACTGAACACAGGTAAGAGGCATAGTATGGCAGCGACTGAACAACGCAGGGTGGAGCAAGGATGGCACCACTGAACACAGGGTAGAGCAAGATGGCACCGACTGAACACAGGGTAGAGCAAGATGGCACCGACTGAACACAGGGTGGAGCAAGATGGCACCGACTGAACACAGGGTGGAGCAAGATGGCACCGACTGAACACAGGGTAGAGCAAGATGGCACCGACTGAACACAGGGTGAGCAAGATGGCACCGAGCTGAACACAGGGATTGGAGCTTAAGTGACGACTGACAACAAGGTGAGCAAGAATGGCACCGAGCTGAACACAGGCGGTAGAGCACAGATGGCACCGACTGAACAAACAGGTGGAGCAAAGATGGCAACGAAACACAGGGTGGAGGCAAGATGGCACCGACTGAACACAGGCGTAGAAGCCGAGATGGCCACCGGACTGAATACAGGGTGGAGCGAGATGGCACCGACTGAACACAGGGAGAAAGTGCTAGAATCAGCACAGGGTACTATAGTTTACAAACACAGCACGTGTGCGGTGTGTGTGTGTGCAACGAGCTTCCACAATGATGTAATTTACACAGCAGGGGGCTGCGCAGGATATATGATTGGAATGATGGAATTTCTGACACTGGAACGAGAATCTAGAAGTGAAGCGTGCCAGCCAACTCACTGACAATAGCTAGAGATATAGATCTTCACATACACGCACATGCACATGCGCTCGCACACACATACGTGCATGCACACGCACATACGCATATGTAATATACAGTATATTAACTACTACCTACCGTCCATGAATTCGGTACAAATCGAAATTCGGTTCTCAATAAAATAAGCACCATAGAAATCTATTATCACAGGAGAGTTGCACTGAAAAACAAACAGAGAGCACACGTGAGTGCTCACAACAATGATAAGTTTAATTGATAACGTTTTCACTTCTTGCAATGACGAAAACTGTTTGACCGGCTACCGTAATCTCTTTGTTCAGAGAAGGTATTAAAAGCTGTTAGATTTGTTTATTAATGTTAAATTGCGTTTATGCTAACTCAAAATATACAAGAGGAATGCAAACATCCTGCTCAGAAAAAAGCCAATATGCTGGTAAATTTATGTTGCATTGCACATAGACTAGCTTATATGAAACAAGTAGGTTGTAAACATGTTGTTCAAAGAGGGCACTGAATTCTTATTATTGATTATTATGTTGGATTACATATAAGGCAGCTTATATTAATTTATACAAGTAAGAAGAAAACAATTTGTTTAGAGAAGGAAGTGAGCTGTTATCCTTGATTATTACAGTCTCGATACTGACCACCCTTGGTATTGTCCATTTAGTTCAGTTATCTGTGGAGTTTGGTTTATAGGGGGTACCTTACATATCACAGATGGAGTCAGGACAAAAAAATTGTCTTGTTTAACGTGAGATTCGGTTTGGAGGGCGTTCAGAATTGATAGTCTAACTGAAACATGTACAGGTGCACTTATATTAAATAAGTATGATGTTTTACCATAATTACGTACATTGTACAAAACTAAACACTTAGGATGCACCAAACTGCAGTTTTTGCTTACGATACTGAATTACGTATATGCTAGCTTTTGTCTGACACAAGTAGGTTGATTTACCGCGACAACATACTTTGTATAAAACCTCCAACTCAGACATGATCTCCTTCTGAACACTCGGAGTGATATCAAGTGGTATGACCTTCACAGCCATCACCAGCTTGTTTGGTCTGTGTTCCGCTCTGTTATTAAATCAAAACAAGCGGTTAACGGTCACCTATATAGAACGGACACCCATCCACGTATAACACGCTTGCTGTTTCCCTTGAGTAGCAGTTATGAACGGTGAAACTACCTCTTCAGAACGCTCACCTCTCTATAGAGGGCATTTTGGCATTAGGTGACCTTGATACACAGGTTTGTCTGTACATGCGTGAGGCATGTTTACCCAGGGGATTTACCCAGGTTTTTTTTCAGGGGTAACTACAGCTGCATGAGCTATGAGGAACATGCCAACTGTTTCGAACCCAGCGCTTAAGGTATGCAAACATGCAGACAGTTCACTCCTTAATCTCTGGCCTACAAGCGATATAGCTACGATAACCTAACAATCCCATTAGCCAAATGCGGTTCAATGCCAGGGACAAGCAACCGTTATCACGTGGAGAGCTGATGAACTCCTGATAAACTACCTTGCGCACGAGCAAAACTCGCACTTGATATGAATTTACACCTAGTATAACCCTTGAATAACTCACTAATGTTTGAATTGATCGTCTGATATCTGCAGCAAACAAAGCAGCCGAGAGGTAAAGGGATCGACGCGCGCTCACTTGATTCCTAATAACTAGTCACACTCACCTGTAGACAGTACCACCACTACCGTGGCCTAGTTTCTCTAGATATTCCAGGTCTGAGTTATTGATGTGCCCGAGGGCTAAAATTGCAGTTATGTCCTGATGCTGTTGCTTTCTGGAGAAAAAAAACATGACCAAGCGAGTGGTTAGCTCAAGATTCACTAAATAAGTCTCACTGGAGGAACACGCCCCCCCCCACCTGAAATCAATATCAGGGTAGAGTGAAAAACAAGAACATGCAAAGAAGTCATTGTTATAAGCAATTCAACTCCTTTTTTCAATTATTGTTTGTCAAAATTAGTGCCTACTGGAACAGATATTGTCACATGAAGTACTATAATGTACAGCTAGACCTAGCCGAGGCAGCTTACAGCACTTGCCCACACCCTCCCCCTTCGCTGGTAGTTTTTCATCCCCATAAAAATATTAAATTCACGTTTTTTCAACAGCGCGTCTTCATGTTGGTCTACATGTTGTAGTCGCAGGGGATACGCCTTGCACATAATTCACAAACTTTGAACAGACCGACGACAACATTAACGGCAAAGCGCGAGACGAGTTTTTTTTCCGCTCACACACTGGTGGGGGTTCTCCCCGGGGTCCTGACAGGAGAGGTGTCCATGCATGCATCATCGCTCGTCTCTGGTATGAACACGCCGCCGCTGTCTCCCTTCTGTTCCACCTCTTCCTCGCTAGTCTTGTACGTCTGTATCTACACACCATGCCATCAAGTTACACCGAAAGACAACTTTGACGTTTGATCCCACTTTATGTTATTAACGCTAATATTTTAGTGTAATCTCCCATTGACAACACCATGCCAACCTAGGCTTCTGCAAAAATGTTCAGCCATTTTCTCAAAGGTAAATTATGGGATATATATATAATTTTAAACACCAACTGGTAAGCTATACTATGGCTATACGTAGGTTGTAAATTAATGATTTAATAAATTTATGCAAGATATACAGATAACTTCTCGGTTTACAGGTCGGGGTTTAGGATGTTTATTATTAGAAGGGTAAGAAATACCATTCATAAACATAGCGGATAAAACTTTTCACTGTTATAACACTAACTCACTTTCAATCCATGTAGATTTCTTTTCCCTGCAGTTTTCCCAACTGAAGAAAACAGCATGCATTCTAGCATTATTTAGAAGTAATAGTTTGCATGGCTATGAGTCAAGAACTTAGACTAGATGGAGAAACAAGCTAACTAAAGCTCCTGCAAGATATTACAAAGGCATTACTGCTACAGAGACCTTTTTTTTACAGAGAACTTTTGGTAAATAGTTCTGCAATGCACAATGCAATAATTTCTGCAGCAACACATGACTCAGACAGTACAGCAACATGTAAAGTTTATAGCTGCGTAGAAAGTACAGTACTGCAACGCTGAGTGCCCGTAGACAGTTTCACAACACAAAAGTTAGCCAATGACGTAGCACAGAATGCAAAACGCTCACTTCCCAGCGTGCGCGCGCGTAGACAGCAAACATAAACATATGTAAACAAACCTCGCGGATGCAGTAGCAATGGTGTCAGCTGACTACCGGTGTTAAGCGCATCCTGCAGCTGTTCCAGATACTGTAAGTTTAGAAGCAGTGCACCGTGAGAATTCAATTGACCTCTAAATTCGCATTAATTTACCTGCCGACAAGGAGCCACGTGCATAGTCGCGTATTACAAACATGTCACAATGATTTAATGACTGTCAATGTGTGTGCACTTGTTAATTACGTGCTGCTTACCAGCAACCAAGGTATATAAGGCAAAACATGTATCAACATCTTCAGCACATAACTGAACTACAAGAAATCAAGTCTATCCTGCACTAGAGACTTTAGCAAGACTGTTATCCAGTCGCACTAGCACTATCACACGATACAAAGTATTTGTACGCTTTCCAAAGGAAACTACTGCCGCTAGTTCAAATAACAGCCTCAGATACGTGCATCTATTAATGTAAATAGAGTTATCGGTCCAATCGGATATGCATCTTTCAAGGTATTCGTAAGATTTCTAGCTAATCGGTACCATTGTTATCATTGCACTAAAGTCCTCCTCGCCTCTAACTGTTATGATATCTCCTTCTTCATCCTCATCTGCAGAAAAAATGCAAACATTCGTGCTAACACCTTCAAGGCCGCGTGAGGCAAATAATAGGTGTTCACAAACACATGGGGCAAATATTAGTTACTTGCTATTTAGAGCTCCTGTACAGATCACAACAAGTTGCCGAATGGGGATATTCAGGGTTTACCAGAAAATTATTACAGGCGACAATGAATTTGCTACAGACTGTGAAGTATGATAAATTATTAAATACTTACAATCGAATGCTTCCACTGTTTGGTTAAGAACTCTACTGACTGTTTCCTATAAGCCAAAAAACGTTAACATGTAATAATATTTTTTGAGTGTTATAATGAAAGTTTACGAGCAATAAAAACCACAACTCCATGCAGACAATTACCTTAATGAGCATATATTGATCGAACATTACACATAGCTACGAAACAGCACATTTAATTATGCTGTTAAGAATTTTCGTCTAATTCAATCAAGCTGAAGATGCAGATCAAATTACAATACACGCAAATCATAAAATTGAATCAAATGTGATGTTTCAGCTTATAATTTAATATAAAAATGCAAGGTAAAAAAGTAGCGATTCCACCGACATCAGTATCTATGGATTTATACGATCAAGCACTCGAGTTGCGTTACCATGGTAGAGTTGTGGTTAGCTGTTGCCAGCGGCAACGTTATGTCTGTGTCTTCCTCTCCTGGTACTCGCAAACACAGCTGAAGAAGTGCTTCCTGCATTGTCATTGCTGTCCATCTGGCAATGTTAGCTGAAATGAGAGGACATTACAGTGCAGTAAAACCTGTGCTAAGAACTACTCCTAGAGAACAGCCACCTGCCTGTAAAGGTCACTATCGGCATGTGGCCTATATATACAGGTTTGACTGACAGACGATGCTCACCGACTATCGCTACTCTTACCCCATCTATACTATCGGCACTATTTTCCAAGGGGTATCGGCTCCTTGCTAAGTTGCATTTTATGTACTGCCCTCTATCAATATTTATAGTAAAGTATTATCGATTCACCACCATGTATCACAGAATATATATATCTGTTGCAATGATTGCACTAGCATTATCAAGATATTTCTCCCACGGCCACGCAGGTAAAAGACAATAAACAAGAATAAAAGGGTAGGACATAACCTGAATAGTGGGCATTAATTAGAATTATGTCTGGGGTTAATTTTCCCAACTGTTTTTCGTGTGGTGTAATCCAGAACATACTTCCTTTAAAAGCTACCCTCAATATTTTCCTCATGGTACATGTATATGGGCTAAGGTATGCTTGTTGTTGTTGTTGTTGCTGCTGCTACTCATGTTGATCTTGTTGGTCTTGCTGCTGCTGCTGCTGCCACCATTGTTGTTATTTTTGTTGTTATTTTTGTGCTACTGTTGTTATTGCTGCTGTGGCTGGTATTGTTGTTGTTGTCGTGTTTTTATTATTATTGTTTTTGTTGTTGTCATTATTGTTATGATTACTATTATTGTTATTGTTGTTTTTGTTGTTATTGTTGCTGTCAGCTTCAGGTCCCTTGATTTGGATTACATAACCACCCTCCTTCTACTTCGCTTCCTCTTCATTCTTCTCCCCCCTCCCTCCTCCTCATCATCTATATCATCACTATACGAGTACCACTAGCTCAAACCTAACCCAATCTTAACCACTGTATTACGGACTGGGGAAGTACCAAATAATAGTGTCGCTGAAGCTGAAAGGGAGGGTGTATGACATCTGTGTAAGGAGTAACCCCCCGTAGTGTCAGCCCCCGCGTAAGCCGTAAGCAGGGAAAACGGCCGTAAAACGATTGTTGTTATTGTTGTTGTTGTTGTTGTTGTTGGTAGTACCAAATAATACCTAACAACGGGGCAAGGACTGTGTAATGTACATTTGAAAAAGGGTTGAGATTAAAAGCAAAACGTAGATAGACTCCTGGCAGGCCTCGAATTAAGCGACGAGAGGGGCGAGGCAATTTTTTGGGGGCAATGCCGCATGTTAGAAATTGCCTTGAATTTTCTATAAAATAGATGGGCACCGAGGCAATTTTAAAAGGCATCAAGGCAATTCTTACAATTTGAGAAGGGCACCAAGGCACTTTTGTAAAATAAAAGAAAACTCATAGCAAATTAATACATCAACATCGTCTTGCTTTTAATGTACAAAATAGTAGGCCCAGTTTAACATAATTACCTCCACCAGGGGCTTGGCAGAGGTTATGTTTTCACTGGCGAGTGTTTGAGTGTTGGTTTGTGGGTTTGTGGGTTTGTGTACAGCCTAACTGAAAAAGTTATGGACGGATGGTCATAAAATTTTCAGGATAGGTCAGAAATGGGCTAACTTATAATTGATGAGATTTTCGTGGTGATCCGGATCCAATTAATTAATTAATTAAATTTTCAGGATAGGTCAGAAATGGGGTAACTTAGAATTGATTACATTGTGGTGGTGATCCGGATCCAATTAATTAATTAATAAAATTTTTAGGATAGGTCGGAAATGGGGTAACTTAGAATTGATTACATTTTGGTGGTGATCTGGATCCAATTAATTAATAAAATTTTTCACAGTGACAGAATTGAGCTGCCTTGGCGGAGGTATGCGCTCTCCGAGTGCTCTAGTTTTCAATGCTATTTGCATAGATCCAGTGGAACTTGGAAGTGATGCAAATGTAGCTGAAATGATATGGAAGATGGCCAAATATGGAGCACTGGCCGCGCATAGAAGAGAAGTGCGCGCGGCAGAGGGAAAAGAAAACGTGATGGATCCGTGCGCCATAATGAAACCCAGCGCACGGATCCAAAGAAAAGACTAGGTGACAGAAAGTGTTCCTCCTCAGGGTGGCATGTACGAACCGCCGCAGTATATATAGTCTATTTCACGCAGTTGTCCTCGGTGTTAACGCCGCGTCTCTACTTCGATGACTGGAGTCCTGAGCTACAGAGCAAAGAATGACTAAACCGAAGCAAATGTGTGAACAGAAGAAAATAGATTGAACCAATACAGCGTATTCATCAACACCAACTTTAATCAACTTGGTTACAGGCTACAACGATATTTATTGACAGAGCATAATAACTATTTAAAAGCAATTTTGGCGTGCAGGGAAATTCGATTCGTTGACAAGATGTACAAACGTGAGTACTAGTTGATGTGATTGATGTAAATTAATGCAGATTGATACGTGCAAAGATTAGACGAGATGCTCAGTAGACATCATTAGAGAAATAGCAGAAAAGACCTTGCATGTAGGCTACTCGTGCGAGTATACCACTATTGGCACAATCCTGCGTACGTATTAAGGAGGTTACGCAGGCACGACAATTACTCTCAGCGCAGAGCAGGTTATATTTGGATGAACTCATCATAGTGCCTTAAAGGGTTAGGGCGTACTTCAACATAGTATCCCTAATGTAAATTTATCAGACACCCAGTGTTTAGAATTAGAGACGCCCTACAATTAGCGTACAAAACAGCCCTACGGTTATGCCCCTCGGCGGTCAACTCCCTTGCTCCCGTCCCATCGCTCAGCCCCCTCTTCTCTACCCTGCCCCAGCAGCTATTCTTCCTACCGCAAATTGCCTCAGCTGCAACATACCAGTCTCCCCTCCCGGGAGAGACTATAATGAAGTTTCCTTAAGGACGGCACTGCACGCCAGCACGGTGCGCCGCATAGGTAGCGCATATTACGCGCGAAGAGCAAATCGATGTTTTGCAAAGATTCTGGCATTTAAAAAGTGAAAGGAGTTAGTCCTAGCTAAGACTTAATATAACATCCATCAGTAGATCACATTTAAGACATAGGAGCAAGACCTTGCATGAAGGTGCCTGCGGCTGCGAATACCGAGCAGGCCAGTACACAATTCTTGCTAACGTTAGTGGTAGCCGGCATCGCGCAATATCTCACCAAGATGCAGTAATAATGGTGAGATGAAATCATTGTACATATAGGTACCCAGTATTAAGATTCCCTTATCAAACTTTACAGATACATCCTGTTTATAAATAGGAAGCGCCCCTACATGTAGGTAACAAACACCAACTTTCTGCCCTCGCCCGTCCTCCCCTTGCCTCCCCTATGCCCTCGCTCAGCCTCCTTCTTCTCTACCGTGCCCCAGCTATCTTCCCGCCGCAATTCCTTCATCTCCCATCCCCTCTCCCCCTCAGGGCAAGGCTATATAGTACGTAAAGTCCCAGAGACGCCCTGCCCCCCTAACACGGAGTGCGCGCGCGATCGCAATATCTCCGCGAGAGAAAATCGTTTTTGCAAAGATTATCATTTAAAATGAAGAGGAGTTATCTAGCCTAGATTATATAGATAACATTCCATCAGGCATCATCATTTACAAACGGAGAAAAACTTCATGTAAGGTCCCCGCTGCCTATAGTGCCAGCCAGTACTACACATCCTGGCTACGTTAGTGTGTTAAGCTGCATCGCAATATCTCACCGACAGAGGCAGTTAATAATGTTGATGAATATCATTTACAAATGGTTAAGGCCTATCTCAGCATCAGATTTCCCATAATAAACTTAACAGTAGACCTGGGTTTATAATTAGGAGAGCGCCCTAGCATTAAGTACAAAACACCTACTTTATGCCCTCGCTTCCCTCCCCTTGCCGCCCCTGTGTCCTCGCTCAGCCCCTCTCTTTACCGCCCCAGCCTATCTTCCCCTGCCGGCATTCCTAGCCGCCACATCCCCTCGCGTCCCCTCGAGCCAACGCTATATCTATGAAGTTTGCCTCAGCACGGCACTGCACGCCTAACACGGTCGCACGCGCATGCGGCATATCCCAGGCATGACGAGAGAAATCGAGTGAGTGCACAAGAGACTAATCAGTTTAAAATGAATAAGAATTATCCTAGCATAAGATGTAATATAATAACATTCTTCAAGATAGGACATCAATTAAGAAATAGCAAGGAAGACTTGCATTAAGGCATGGTGCAATCCTACCAGTCAGTACATCATCGACACGTACGTTAATAGTCTGTCAGAGCATCACGAAACTACCTCCTAGATTATAATCTACAAGTTAAATTTGTAATCGATTGGTGCATGTAGTATGATCATGGCGGTACTCAGCATAGTCTCGTAATTAATTCACATCATAGACCCTGTTTATTATTGGAGAGCGCCATAGCCTGTAGCGCAGCAAAAACTGTCCAACTCTCATCTCGCCACGTACCGTTGCATACCTTGCCCTCGCTTAACTTCTCTCTTCACGCACCCCTGGCATCTTACCTGCCGCCTTCCCAGTCTGCCACCCCTCCCCTCCCGCAAGCTATAATATATATAAACATTTCTGAGTCTAAGACGCACGCCTGAAACTACTCGCGCATGCGCAATATCTCCACGAAACATTATGTTTGCAAAAAACTAGGCATTAAAAATGAAATCACGACAACAATCGCATCGGAAACAGTGTGAATTGCTTCGATAAAATGTTATTCGACGCTCCTACTAACGCTTCTAATCCATATTCTCGGACACGTCCGCGGTATAATTCGAATGTAGCGCGATAAAAGCGTATATATCAGAACAACTCGTGTAATTTGCTCCAACTCAATTATTAATACATCAATCACATCAATATTTACCACGTTTGTATCTTTTCAACAAGCTGCGATTTCTGCACGTCAAATGGCTTCAAAATATTATATCGTCCTGATAAAAATAGAGTAGGTAAAGCCAAAGAGATAAAAGTGATTAGACTGTTGATGAATACGCTGATATTGAACAATTATATCTCTGTTACCACATTG